ATATAAAATATGCAAATAAAAGCTTTTTGAAAAAAACCACCTTTCTAACCAAAAATACAATTTTCAAATTTAAAAAAAAAACATTTTTATACATTTCAAAAACATTTCACAATTGAGCATTTTACAAAATTATTTCAAAATAATTCCAAAACTTGATCTCGTTTGACATCTTTTCCATCGTTATTAACTTTTCCATCGCTATAGTTTCAGGTTTTGTTAAATGAGTGGGCTTTCATCACCCGCATTTAAATAAAAGTCCAAAACAAAGACCTATTGTGGGAAAAGCTCAATTTTATTACTTTTGTACTTTAAATTCTCATAACATTTAAATTATAGAAAATTTTTTTTACAGATTTTAAAAATAATTTCTGTCCCTTTTTACTTTTAAATTCATTCACCAAAACAATTTAACCAAATATAATTTTAAGAAAATAAAATTATTTATTTATTTATTCATAAAAGTCAAAAACAACAGCACCCAAACTTAATTAAAAATAAATTTTTTATTAGTACATTTTACAGTAATTTTTTTATATAATAGAATTTAATTATTATATGTACATATTTACAGAAGAATTTAATTAATTACAGATTTATTAATATATTTAAATTAAATAAACGAACTAAATTTGTGCAAATAAATTATTTAAAATTTAATTTATTTTTAATTAAATTTATTTAATTTAATTTATTTAATTTATTTAATTTAAATTTATTTAATTAAAAATTCTAGATTTAGGAAATTTAACAAGGAAGTTCAAAATTTAATTTAATTTTTAGGAGAAAATTATTCCAAAATCGTTCCAAGGCAAAATCGTTTTATTTTCTAAAAATAAACAAAATTTAAATATTAAAATAATAATAATATAAAAAATATTTTATAAAAAAAACTTAATTATTTAATTATTTTTTATTTAATCTCAACTAACGAAAAATAATAATTTACCCAAATAATTAATTATACCTATGTACTATGTACTGAAATTTAGTAATTATTACGTCTAGTTATTAATTAAAATTTTTTAAAAATAATTTATAAAAAGTTTTAAAAAATGTCAGGTATATTAACAGGTGAAAATGCTCTTTTACGCTTTTTTCAGACAATTTTTGGTTTTAGTGTAATTATTATATAAATAAAATATGAAGGTTTATTAAATATTATTTGTAATAAAAGACAGTAAAATTAATTTAATGCCAGGTTAATAGGGGCATTAGAAATGTCAAATAAAATTGACTTAACCAAATAATCCTGTTAATAAAATAATCTAAAAATATTTAAAAATATTAGAATAATTATTTGTTGACTCTAAATTCAGGAATCAAACAAGGAATAAATGTGTTTTCTGATAATATTTTAGAAGTTTTATTTAAAAAATCTCCAAACAAAATAAGAATTTCATCCAAAAATTCTAGATTTAGAGAATATACACGAAATATTCTAAAATAAACTCCAAAAACTTTAATGAAAAAAGGACTAAAAATTGACTATGTACTTCTTTTTTTGATTTTTAACTTATATCCAAAACAGTTCAGGAATCAAACAAGGAAGTTCATATAACAAAAGAAAAAACAACATTATTAATTTTTAGGTATTTTAGGAATTAAAAAATCGTTTTAAAATTAAATTTTAAAAATAATTTATTTAATTTAATCATTAAATAAATAGTTTTCCTTAATTTGCTTTAAATTTTATCTCGTTTATGTCTTTTAACCTTAATTGTATGTTTTTTCTTGTTACTTGCAAATTAAATAATTGACTTTTTTCTAAAATTTAATAAGGAAAATTTTCTAATTATTCAATTAAAATAATCTTTTTTTTAATTTTATTTAGGCTAGCTATATAGAGATAGTCCGTGATACAGGATTGGGTGGGTCCAGAAAAAATCCAGACTGGATCCAGATCCAGACCGATCTCTAATTCTTATAACGAATGAACAAACAACATTATTGTTTTTTGGAATTTTGAGGAATTAAAAATGTATTTTTTAATTAAATTTAAAAATAATTTATTTAATTTAATAATTATATAAATAAATTCACTTAATTTGATTTAAATTCTATCTCGTTTATGTCTTTCAACCTTAGCTTTTTCTTGTTAATTTAAAATAAATAATTGGAGTTTTCCTAAAATTTAATAAGAAAAATTTTCCAGACTATTTAATTCAGCTTAATTTTCTTTTAAATTTTATTTAGGCTAATTAAAAATATTAAAATTTATTTTTTAAAATAATGTCACCAACAACTTCTCAACGACCCTTATATGCGTATTGGGACGAGTCTATTATATTAAACACTATTCGCTATTTGGGAAGTTTTGTTGGACTTTTCTCAAATTTTTTTCTGATTTTTCTTGTTTTTTATGTAATATTTTAATTATTTTTTAATATTTTTAAAATTTATTTTTAGAGCAAAACTTTGAGGAAAAGTCAATATACATGGTATATGATTCTATTGTCTTTTGCTGATATTCTTATTGGTAAGAGAACACTTTGGGTTATAAAATAATAATAATTTTTCTAAAAATAATTTAAAGCTTTCGGACATTTCATTAGAACAACTTATATAATAAATGCATCTTCTAAAGGAATTTTGTTATATTCTCGGCTAATTTGTGTTTGGGTAAATAATTTTAGAAAATACATGTTTTTTAAAAATCATTAAAATTTTTATTGTGTTGAATTCTTTTCTTAAAAGAGGAAATATATTCACAGTTTATTAATTAAAAGTTTAACTCAATTCCATTTTACAAAAAAAATTTTCCCACATTTTTAAGCCATTTATTTAATTTATTACTTTATTTCTACATTTAAAATAAAAAATATTTTGCCTAGATAAATACACCGATGGGTATGGGCTTTACAGCTACAAGAATTGCTGTCTTAGCCATTGCTGCAGACCGATGTTATATGGTAATTAATCCTCTCAAATATAAATGGAAAGCTAATGCGGTAATAAATTTTATCAAAAACTACTAGATTTTTATTTTATGAACATTAAAAGTTGGAAGCCGAGTTTAGTTTGAAATTTATTTGTCTCTCTCAAATAATTACACCCTCCCTATTAAATACCCCCCTCCCAGCAAGAGGTTGAAACAATAATTACCCTGGATAATTATTTTAGCATATACGATAGTATCTCCAAAAACTGATTAAATTATTTTTAGAAACTAATCTTGTTTGTTTTCACAATTCAATTAATTGCGATTGCTGCTGATACTTTCACAAAAGTTTATGGCGGTGATAACATAACGCCTATAACAATGTGTTCTATGGGTGCTGCATCAGCTCCAATGTCCAGCTGGTTTGGACAATTTTATTCAAATAGCTGTTTGGCCCTCCTATTTTGTGAGATTTTTAATTTTATAATTAATTTATGGCACCCCTTTTACCTTAGAAAACATTTATAACGAAAACGAACTTTAATTATAGTAGACTTTAATTAAATCTCGAGAACACTGCAAGGGAATATACTAATTGTAAGTAAATTCTACTAGAAGAAAGACGTCATAGCTTAGTTTGTCTCATAAATTTTTATATCTATAAAACACCTAATTTTTAACAAAAATTTTTAAAGTAATCTACATTCCATTTCTGATTTTATATCGAAAAAGAAATTCTTCCCAAGACACAACAAGTACATCCAATCATTGGAGAAGACAATTAGAAGTAACAGTAACAACAATTTGGATATTATTTCTGTATGGATTTTTGTGGGGTGGATCTTTTGGGGCTCTTTTCTACGCAAATGTGAGTTTTGTATATTATAGAACGGACTAGGAATCAGTTTAGATTTTAAATCAGGGCTGTCCGCAATTTTCATTTTAAAATTCTCAAACGCAATCCGTAAGCCTGGCTGACCTGGGCCGAAAGTCGCCGCCTGTCCTTAGCCATTCTTGCCTTTTGCCACCTTCGTTATTCTAGTAAAGCAGCTGGGCTATAGCTATTTCTCACCTTGAGCTAGTGCAAAAGGTTAATAGGCGGCTGGGAGCGAACCAGCATCTTCAGTAGACCTAGATCGGACTGATGTGTTAGCCATTACACCACGCCGTCTACTGCACAGCCTTAAGAGATTAATAGCTATATGCTTTACATACCTGTATTTACTAGTCGGATAAGCAATTATTTTATTTTGGTGTTATTCTGTTAGTCGCTAGGTAAGCCCTGTCTGGACCTAGGACATAACAAGCCCTGTTTTAAATCTCTCGATCCCTCTCCATTTTTAAAATTTTATTTTTTAGTTCACAGACAACCCAAAACTCGTCTCTGGTTATATAACCTATATTTTCGGGTTTTTATCAGCAATGTGTTCATCAGCAAGTTTTTTTGTTTATTTAATTAAAAACAAAGAAGTTTTAGTAGAAACAAAAATTATTTTAAATAAATTAAAAGTTTTTATTTTTTGTTTACCAAAAAATAATATTGTAAATATTAAAAGTAACAACAATTCAACCAACAAAATTTCTATAATTAAACCTTTTAATAGTATTGTAATAAATAAAACTTGAGAGATTTCTAATATAAATTAATTTTAAATGAAAATAAGCTTTGTGATTAATATTTTATTAAATTAAATTGTATATATTTTTTGTAGATAAAGTGAATTTATTGGGATAATTAATTTGAAAAAAATTTTGATCAAAGTCACGCAAAATTTTATTAAATTAAGGAAAAATAATTTGGTAAAATAATTATTGTCTTGGATAAATACATTGGGGAGAAGACAACGTTAGAGTGTCAAATTAAGAGTTTTATTTTAGAAATATACATTTATATCTTCTTAATATGCTCTTATCATCAGTGATGGGAAAGTTCCAGTTCCAGAACTGAAACCGGTTCCAGAGAGATTTTGGAACTTTCCCATTACTGCTTATCATAAACACTACTGTTAATTTCTTACAAAATTAAGTTTAATCATTCATTTCTCCAGAACATCCATTTCTTCCGTACTTTCCAATATTTTTGTAACCAAAATAATTTATGTGATGACTTGTCTTATAATACCTAAAAATAAATAAAATAATTATTTTTCAAAAATATTTTTAATTGCCAAAGTGAATTGCTGCAGTTATCATCATCTTCGTCCATATCATTACAAACAATAAATGTATCTTCATTCCCATCTTCATCACCATCCATTCCATTATTGTACCAAATCTAAAAATTAATAAAAAAATTCGAGAAGTAATTTTAAGTGATATATTAATATTTTTATGGACATGATTGTCGAATAAGTACAGTTGAATAAGTACAGTCACAATCATTTATTTACATAACTCTACTAGTGTATTGAACTCTAATCATTCTTTCGGTTAAAAATCAAGTATTCAAAACAAACACAGAAAAATATGAGACAGCTTTTTTTTAAAAATATCAGAAACACTTAATCAGGACCTAGATAATCCATGTCTCAATAAACTCAAAAAATAAACCTCAGTACTATAATGATGATACCCCTCAAAAAAGCGCATTGGTAAGTGAGCAATTACATCGCGATGATTAACAACACGATAATTATAATAAGGAAGCTGAAAATATATTTAAATCTTTAAGATTTTTCCCATATAATCAAAAATAAAAATTCTACAATTTGATCCATAGCAGCAGCCCAAACCCAATTTCCCGTTCTTGGCTGTCCAAGTGTTAATAATTTTATATTTTGAGCATTAATTAATCTACTAGAAACAATTTCTGCTGCGGCGAGTGATGCTAGAGCACCACCTAGAGAATGCCCTGTTACCTTTTTTATTAAATTATTACAATAAATAAAAGATAATTTAAACCCAAAGTTCGTAATCTGTATAAATTTTTATTAAATTTATGACACAAGTAATTATTCCTTCAGCTCTTAATTGTTCATAAATCTCAGTGAAATAAGTAGCTACCTGTGAATAATTAAATTACTAAACGATTTATAGGTTCATTATCTTCATAAAAAGTCTTTGGAAGTCTTAGAATATCAGGATCCAATATCCTAACCGAAAATTTCCGGATATCCAAACTTTTTAGAATACGGACTCTCATATTCACAGAAAATATAGTTTGGGAATGGATGTCTACACCAATCCAATCCAGTATCACGGAATATCCCTATATAGCTACTATCGCTAAATAGGTTTAATATGTTCATTTCCTTATAAAATATACCTTGCCTCCAATATTAACTTCTGTTTGACTTTTACAGGCAATCTCAGAACTTTCAAGTAATAATTGAGTGAATGAGTTGGTCCCTCTGGAATATTTTTATTAAAATTAGAAAATCAGCAGATCTAGTTATATACCCCCAAGTTTATATACCCATCATTATATACAATTTTTATATAGGTATTTAAACCCCCCTCTATATAGGTATTTAAACCCCTCTTAAACTTAAATAAATAATTAATTATACCGAAATGACAAAATGATTGCTTTATCATCATGAGATAAGGCAACAAATCCTGAACAGATTTGGCTTTCATGTCCATTACAATATACTTTAGTGAAATTTATAAGCTATAATTTATAATTTAATTATAATTTATATATCGTTTAAACCTCATAATTTATAAATGTTTTGTTAAGACATTTTCGAATATTTTCTTCATTTCCATATGCTGCCGCTGACACAGGAAAGAATTTGTCTCTTGTTAAATCGCTGTTAAATTGGTATGCTTTTAATTTCACAGCAGATTGTTTGTTGATTTGTGGCTTAAATTAATTAAATTTATTTCCCCTGTTGATCCCCCCCCCCCTTATTCAAATGATTGACATCTTTTCCAATCATTTACTGAAAAATGCACAAGTATATTTCCCCCTCATATAAAAAATAACCTCAATAATAAATATCCAAAACTAAATTTTATTGAATTATTAGATTAGTGATAAATAGGAACCCAGTCAATTATGTGGATATAACAAGAATTAAAGAAAAATTAATTCATGGTTAATTTATATTCATAATTAACTATAATTACTGTTTAATTTTCATACTTTTATTTTCCCAATTTTCTTTTTGCTGATTTCGTCAAATTTATTAAATAAAATTTTTGAATTTATTTTTGCTTCATTTAACAAAGAAAAGGAAAAATCCTCTTCAAAAATATTTTCAAAATGTTCTGGAGATATTTTCGTTGAATAATTTGATGAAATTTTAGAGCAATTAATCAAATGAATATTTATAATAATTAAAAAATAAATTAAAAATGATGACATTTTTTACAAAAAAATATTTAAAATAAATCTATTGTTTACAAAAGAATTAAATAATTAATTTGTTATCAGTTAAATGACGGAAATGGCTGATTAATAATTTTTAAAATATTTTTGAATTTTTATTGATTGATAAAATATATTAAATAATTTTTGACAAGTCTACTCCTACAAAACAAACTTCCTAAGATTAACTCCAAAAAAATTAAGTTATAAATAAATTGTTTGAAACAATATATTGTTTGATATTTTGTAGAGCAACTAACGGAAAAAATAATGATTGTAATAAGCTTTTACTAAAAAATTAATTTTATAATTTACTTTTTGTTTTAGTTTGTAGATGAGGAAAATATTTTGTTGTGAATCAAATTTTAATAGAAGGAAACAAAATAAAATAGAAACGGACTGCTAAGTGTTGAAAAGCATATCTGTAATATACATATATTTTTAGAGTTCTGGATTTTCCGGTTCCGATAGTCCGGAAACCGGGTATTTTGATAAAAGTCCGGATAAAAAATTTGAAATCCGGAAACCGGATCTGGCATTTTTGAAATTACGAACTTTATATATTTTATTTATATTTGTCTAGACTATCCATAACATTATAAAAATGATGAAATTTAAACAATATAAAAAATAGATTTCAAAATTATGACATATGTATGTCAAAGTGCATCTAAACTTAAATGCGACTGATTATTAAATAAATTTTTAAATAAAATAATTTTTAAAATATTTTTTAATTAAAAAATTAATTAATTATTTAAATGCTTTTTTCCGTTTTGCTAACCAATCTTTTATTAATATCGGCTTTATTTAAGTCAAAAACTTTGATCAATGGAATGGAACGAGTTCCAGGTATTTTTAATCTACTAAATAAACTTTTAGACTACATAAAAATAAAAATACCTATGTAATCTTTTTTTAATTATTTTTATTGGAATTCACGCCTAGTATCAGCTGGGCTAACTAACGTATATTTTTTATCATTAATATTGTAATTATCTAAATGGAAAAAGCTTACAACTGGGAAAAGCTACAGCTTACTTTTTATTTCTTCTATTCCTCGAATAAAATTTTCAGATCACATCAGATCAGGTCACAATAATATTCAAACGTTGAGTAAAACATGTAGTTTTTGCTTAACCGAGCTTTCGTATTTAATTCTAATTTTAAACTCGGTCGAAGAAGAGGATTTGTACACAATAAAGACTATACAACAAATTCTTATTGAAAAAGAAAAAGAATTATTTGGCAATACAATTTTTGAAAATGATATTAATATTTTATATATTGCTTCAAAAATTAATCCTGTGCGTTTAAAGTTTAAATTTGAATTTAACTATAAAATGGACTTAATTAGAAGCACAATCAACTGTGCCACTTTCTAAATTTTCGGTCCTGATATTCAAATAAAAAAGCTACAATCTTCTTAAAAATTAGATTGCATGGATAATATTTGTTATATTCCCATCTAATTTTATTCGTTTCCTTTAGTATTTTAAGGTTTTTGCAAACTAAAAATCTGATCCCTAATTATTACGACTAGAAAATTTATGATTTCAATATTAGGAATATATCAGCGAAACATTAAAAATAAAAAAAAATAAAATTTTATTTTCTTTAAATAAATCATTAAATAATTTATTTAAAGATGATTGAATATTTTGAAAAAATTCTTCTTTGGTTTTCTAATAATTTATCTGAACGTATAAACCATTTTAATCAAACAGAGATACATCAATTTCTTTTAAAAAGATTTGAGGATAATTCAAAAATTTTAGAAGAGGAATATGACAAAGAAGAAAATTTAGTTTTATTAGGTATTTCTAGGTAAATAATTTAATTTAATTTTGTAATCTTTTTAAATCATACTTTGATATTTTATATGAAAAAGATTCGGTCTACAAATTTAAAGATTCATAGAAAAAGTAACATTGGTACAAATCTCGGTCTGAAAAAACTAATAGTACATATTTTCGGATTAGCACTATAACAGAAGTTATATTTTCTGTAGTAGATTTATTTACCTTAATATAAAAATTTGGGTATTGTGACTTATAGCGGGTTTTTTGTTTCTGAACCGATTTCGACAAATGAGGTGTCATTCGAAAGAGCTTCGAAAACTGAGTCGAACTAGATACGGGGGAAGTCGATCCGACAATCAGGGACCGAGTTACAGACCCCTGAAGTTTGAAAAAGAGAAGGGGGGAGTAAGCTGATTTCGAGGTGAAAAATTCGAAAATGCAAATAATAGCTCATTCGACTCAGCTCGACGAGCTGAGTCGAATGACACCAAAATCACCGAAATCCGACTTGTTTTGACAAAGTTATGATCGTTTGTTTTAGCTCCTTACCTATGGTCTATGTGAGGTTTTTGCTGCTACGGAGGCCCAATTATGTCCAGAACAAGGGAAATAGGAATAGGTATATGTTACTGAACCAGACCAAGCGACCGTAGACTCCCCGCGAGGCGCGTGCCGCAAAACCCCGCGCGAAGCGCGGGGTTTTGCACAAGCGCCTCGCCTACGCTCCATAGGTTTACGTTGACCAATTTGAACCTGTTTATCTTGGCTCAGAATCAAGATATCGAGCTGATTTTGGTGTCATTCGACTCAGCTCGTCGAGCTGAGTCGAATGAGCTATTATTTGCATTTTCGAATTTTTCACCTCGAAATCAGCTTACTCCCCCCTTCTCTTTTTCAAACTTCAGGGGTCTGTAACTCGGTCCCTGATTGTCGGATCGACTTCCCCCGTATCTAGTTCGACTCAGTTTTCGAAGCTCTTTCGAATGACACCTCATTTGTCGAAATCGGTTCAGAAACAAAAAACCCGCTATAAGTCACAACATTCAAAAATTTTCAAGAAATTATGGTACTTTATGGATATATCACCCCCCCCCCTCCCCTATTTTAAGTCTCAGAGTTTTATAATGGTCAGCCTTTCTTCCCCAATTCTACTCAATTTCCCCGTGCCATATTCAAATAAGAGGCATTAATAAAAAGAAAAGACATGCAACTCTTAGACTCAGAATTGGAGGTGGTATATCCATAAAGTACCGAAATTATTAATTTCAATAAACTTATTTAAAAAAATTTTTTTTAATCGAAAAATTTAAGCAACGAAGATATTAAAGATTTTCTTCAACTTTACAAAACACCATTCCAGCAAGAAAAAAATTTATTTATTTTTTATCGTTTGTTAGGACTTGTCAGAGTTCTTATCAAAAATTTTGTTCATCAAAGTAATTCAAAAATATACATTGAAGTTTTCTCAAACAAAAAGTAAATCTTTAATAAAATATCAAGAAAGTTCTTTTTTACACTTTACAAAAAAATAAATTTATTTTACTAAGTCCTTTAAGGAAATTCTATAAAAAATTAGGCACTATCTGAAAGGAGGTGCGGGATCATATTTTTTCCTCCTTCCTTACACTAGTCAGTCTACATTTCATTTTTCCTTAATATGAAAAAATGGTCAGCCTTACCTCACCCTTAATTTTCCCTGTGGCATATGCAAGTGAGAGACATTAATAAGAAAAGGATTATTTTTTTCTCAATGCCATAGTCAGGACGAACAGACAGAAGATGAAATACAAAACAAATTGTAAAAGTCACCGTCTTACCAAATCACGGACCAGATCTTCGGTCAGTTTTTGGCCATTCCGTGTCATGGTCTTTCTGATATTTGGTCGTTCCTTGATTTTGTAAGACGGTGTTTTCTGTTTTGTGTTTCGGTATAGTCCGTGTCTTGTCTCTTTCTTAAGTTAGCCTGACACGATTCAAAAATGATAAAAGATGACCTTTTTTATTTGAATATGCCATAAGGAGTTTGGGTAAAATAAGGAAGGAAGAAAGGCTGACCATTTTTTCATACATATTAAGGAAAAATGAAAGGTAGACTGACTAGTGTAAGGAAGGAGGAAAAAATATGATCCCGCATCTCCTTTCAGATAGAGCCAAAAATTAAATTTAGAGAACAAATATCTATTTTTGAGTATATCAAAGCCTATGACGTATTTGAAGTAAAAGCCAACAAATTAAATAAATTTCTCAATAATTTGAATATATTCAAGGAAGTAGTACATTTTCCAAACTTAGAAGGTCGAAACAAATGTAAGTTGGTTTAAGTTCTTTAATAACAATCCCAAGGTCCTTTAAATGGAAGTAAAGACCATTTAGGAGTTATCAATGGATGATAAATAAAAAATACTTGTCTTATATTGGGAATAAATAAACTAATCGGTCTTCCTTCGAAATTTAACCAAAATAAATTTTATTTATCTTTTTCAGTTTTAAATAATCTAATTGTAAGGAATGCTGAACGTGATTTAGCTTTATTAATAGATTTCGATCACAACTTAAACTATGAGAATCGAAAAAATATTGAACGATACATTCCGATTATTTTTACTTTTCAAAGTAATATTTTTGGTTAATCTTTAACTTTTAAAATTTTCTACATGATTAAGCGAATTTAAATATAAGGATATTTATTTACAGTTAATTTAAGTCAAAATTTAATAAATAAAAATTAGAGACTACTAATTAATTCAAGTAAAAATAAAAAAAACAAAATTATTAATAGGGAAATTATTAAATCTTAAAACATCTTTTAATTGTTTCTAACGATTCTAACATTATTTACCTTCACTCAAAAATGAAATATAAAAAAATTTTTTTAGGAAACAAAAGGAGAATAGTGGACAACAAAAGCCCTTTTTCAATGTGGGCAAATGAAATAAACATAAATACAATGCTTGAAAAAGAAGAAAGTATTCAATTGGCAAACTTCATTGAGAATGCCCCTAATAATTTATACAAATTTTTTTATTCCGAATATCTTTCAAATAATGAAAATATTCGGAATTTGCTACAAGAATATTTTATGAATGGACAATTAATTAATCAACAAATTGGGGATGAATATCACCCTGAACTAGTTGAAATGGTCGAGTATAGAGGAGTAAAAATTCCATCACAAGATCGACAAGTGAATGATTTTTATTTATAAATAAGAAAACTTCAAGTAGATAAATTCATCAATATAAATTTTAGACTATTCTCCAAATGATACCGTATTTGATCACCAAATTCCCATATCCTCAATCATATCCAAATTCCCATATTATCCACCTCAAATCTTTTTATTCCTCCTTTATCTCTTATATCCCTTGACTCATCCTTAATTCATTCAACACCAGTTTATCGCCCAATATCAATCAAAGTACATACTTATACCCTCATAATCTCTATATATCCCCTTAATTTTTATTTTAATAGATTCTTCTTCCGTAAATGAACATAGCTAATTCCAATTCGAGAAAAGTTCAATAATGTACATGTGGTTGTGAAGACATCCCTAGATAGGGAGTGATTGGATTTTAAATTTATTTGTATTCATTATTAAAATTAATTTTGTTAAAAATATTAAAAAGAAAAAATTTCCGTAATAAATTTAGTTAAAATTTGTAAAATCTATTAAATTTAGTAGTTGATATTAGCGCTCGACCTCCGTCACCGTGGAAGAAAAACGCAGAACCTGGATTTAAAAAGGAACAATTTTTACATTTTAAGATAAACTTCTGAGTCACCACAGATCACCACATTATTTGTCGACTTTGGATCTAGAGAACTATTTTGATGATGTGTGTAAAATAGAATTCGGATTTTTTGCCATTCTTCATCACATCGCTAGGGAAGATCTCAGGAATTTTTTCAGATTTTTACTGTACCGCTTTTACATAAAAAATTAAAGTTTCTTATTTCTTAAGTAAAAGACCGCGCAATTTTTGAATAGGTTATCCATTATAAACCTCAGCAATTTATTCCATTTAACAAAATTAATAAATACTACAATTTAAAAAATAAGAGTAGAGAAAAACATTTTCAAAATTCATTGCAAAAATAAAAATATATTTAACCAACCCTAATGGTTGTAATAATAAATAATACTTATATGTATAATATCTTTAATGATGATTTATATCTTTTAATGATGACCTCCTCCAATAAGCAACAGTCCATTTCGACTTGTTTCAGTCTTCTCCTCTGAAATTTTATACAGACTAATCTCGACAGTAGAAAGTCTCTCTATGATGAGAGAGACTAATCTCTTCCGTTCTCCTCTATCTTACTTAGGCCCAATTAGGTCCCGACGGTGAAATTTTATCGAGATTCGATTGAAAGATATTTTTTTAGTATCACGTTCCTTCGCGTACGTGCCAAAAAATTTTAGTGGGAAAATTTCATTGAATTTGATTTCTGAAAATAATACGAGAAGGCTATTACATGGAGGCCTCAAGATTTACAAGAAAAGATTTTGAATCAGTAAGAAAATAAAAGGGCTCGATAAAACACAATTTAACAAATGCATCCAGGCATAGGACCTTGTTTCCCGTTAGGTGCAAGTTGAGTTGCTAAATACCAGAGACGTTAAAGAACAAAAGTTTCTAAAATTTAAGAAAAAAAACCCTAAAAAAATTTGATACCAGCATCGATACCAACACATAAATTAATTATTTAACAAAATCAAATTCTTAATATGTACCTATATAGTAAAAACAAATTACCTTTAATAATCAGAAAAAGAAGTCCTTTGTATATTTTAATTAACACAGTTTCATCAAATTCGGTGTCAATTGCAAAACATGCAATATTACACGCAGTCAATCTAATTTCTTCATGTTTGGGTTCATATACCGCTTTGATGGTTATTGTTTGCACTGAAAAATATTAAATTATTACTAAGAATCGACCAAAATTCGAGCAAAAATCAGAATTCAATTAGGATTTTGAAACCAAGTATATTTTTAAGAATTTAAATTTTCAAGTAAAATAATGTTCCTTTATCAGCAGGATATTTATATTATATTTTACATTTTAAATGATTACTTACTTCTATTATTGCTACGAAATGTTGTAATTGTATTTTTATAAATAGTCAATTTATTTAGTATTAAATAATAACGATGTGCTCTCAACGTAAAATCTTTTAAAACTTTGTGATAAGCAACAGTTAAAATCTGTTCGCTAAAATAAAATAAACTCAGAAAATTTACTCAGAAAAATTATCTTTACTCAGAAAATTTATCTTCTAGCCTTTATTTTTGTATATTTCCGCCACCTATTAAATTTATTGCTTATTAAATGATTATAAACTTGTCCGGGATAAACTTTTTGACACTTAAAAAATGAAACTCGTGGATGGGTTGGCAATAATAAATTCTTCTAGACAACCAAATATTTTACTGGACAAGTTTATAATTATTTAATAGCTAATAAATATAGCTACAAAAATCCACAGAAATAAAGGATTAAAAAAAATTTTTGAGTAACTTTTAAAAAACATGAGAAGAAAAATTTTCTTAATAAACTTTTCTTAACCTTTAATATTACTAATAATTTTTAAATTTTTAATAATATAATATATGTATGTAACCGCAACAAACTTAACTCTAATATGAGCTAATAGTTTAATTCTCAATTCTGAGGAAGACAATTAAAAACAAGGAGAAGCATCCATGGGAACGGTTTACAAATATTATTGTATTCTCAAAAATTAATAAAAAAAAACAAGGTCTGCTTTAGTGATTAAAGTAAATTTAAAATATACTTACGGATGTATTTTTTCGTTATAATAATAAATGTTGTTTTCATTATTAATGAGAAAAGACTTAATTAAAACGTTTGCTAAAATAAGCAGTTGATAAAACATAAATAAATTCCTCTCCTTTTTATGTGGCTTTAATAAATACTTTAGATGCAATTCAAGACTTTCATAGCTAAATAAATAAATAAATAAATAAATAAATAAAAATATACAAATAATTAAAAATATTTTTCTAAATTGATTTAGAGATTTATAAAAAAAATTCTTATATTTTTATTAGTTACTGCTGATAAATTAATTTGAAAAATATTTTAAGTAATGATAACTTTATCTGTCAAAATTAGATGGGAAATGGAATAAAACCCTCATGAAAAGATCCCAAATCTGAGATTTAATTGTGGATTTTTAAAAAAAAATTTAATATTTTTATTAAATGGACATGGTTCACTTTATTTATTTTTAAATTAAACCTAAATTTATTTGATAAGATTTCTTTATTCAATACACTTTCTTTTTTTACTTTTTTAAACTTATTTATATCTTCATGTCTTCCAAGTATAAAATCTATTTTTTTGTCTTCTTGTACAAAAGATGGTAATTTATTTTTATATTCACTCAGGATTTTTTGAAAATTGTCAGAAATTAACTTTAAAAATTTTTTAGAAAATTTCTAATTATAAAATTAAAAAAATTTGTATTAATAAAAAAAAAATTTATTAAAAAAATTTTTTTAATCTTTTAATAGAAAATTAATAAAAAATAAAATTTTACTCACAGAATTAATTTTATTAATAAATTTTAAAATATTTTCATTATATTTTTTAAATCCAATCTCCACAGCTATTTTTAATCCTTTTTCATGAATAATTTCTTCGATTTTTGGGACCGATCCTTTTTCTTTTTCTTGTTCATTTTGATTATTTATTTGAGTAAAAATATACAAATCTTCATCACTCACAGAATTTAAAATTCTTATCAGAAAGGACAACTCGACAAGAGAGAATTTACTAGTTGTACTATTTGGATGTTCTTCTTGCACAGGATTTTTGCCTTTTCGATCATCAACTAGTTTTAAGTAGAGTTGGGCGGGATCGGGATCCCGACGTAAAATCGGGATCGGGATTTTGGAATGATGATCCCGATCCCGGTCCCGATCCCGACTGCGGGATCGGGATTGGACGAAATCGGGATCGGGATTCGGAATAATGATCCCGATCCCGGTCCCGATCCCGACTCGGGATCGGGATTGAAAAATCGGGATCGGGATTTAGTTTAAAAAAATTTTCAAAATTTAAATTTTTATTTACATTGCATATACCTCAATATAATTCCATAATTTTCATCTGCTGTGCTGAAATATTGATTTTAAGTCCCAGCGCGCATTTGTTCTTGGCGTATCAGGGATTAAGGAGGAGGGATAAAGTATTAACGATAAGGTGATTCTGATGGATTAAGAGGGATATCGTTGATTAATGAGATATTGGGATCTAGATGGACATCTAGGATATCCATTATATCCGTTCAAATCCATTCCGTCGATAGTTTTATAAATGAGTCTCTTCTTATTCACCGCCGGAGGCAAAAATTTTGAAAAATTTCGAAGATTTTCAAGCCAAAATCTTAATTTTTAGCGCCGCAGGCGAAAATTTTGAAAATTTTGGATGGCGTAGAAGCTAAATTGCTTTCTTTTCAGCTCATTAATTTATATTTTCATTAATTTATAAAATCCCGATTTCATCGGGATCCGATTGCTAATCTCGATCCCGGTCCCGATCCCGGCTCGGGATCGGGATCGGCCAAAACCGGGATCGGGATTTGTCTTTCGGGTTCGGGATCAGAAAAATCGGGATCGGGATTCAAAAAAACCGGGATAATCCCGCCCGATCCCGACCGGGATCCCGATCCCGCCCAACTCTAGTTTTAAGAGAAAAATAATTTTAGAAAAAACATTAAAATAATATTTAAACAAAATAGGTATATTAACGATGATTTAAATAACTAAGTTTATCTTTTTAAGACAAAAATTTTGTTAAGCCCTATAGTTGTGTCTGTAAAAGGAGGGGTAGGTCAGATTGTAAACAAAAATTTAGGTATTATCTTTTAAAACGAGATTTTTATAAATTAATTTTAATATTTAATTTATTCTTCTTAAAAGATGATATGAAAGTATTTAAAAGTTAAACATACTTCCAGGCGGATTTATATCCATTCCTTTAATTAACCCATAAAGCAAAGTAGTAAGGTAAAGGCTTAAAAAACATAGTTTAATGCAGTGAAGGAGCATTTTAATTAAATAAAAAGAAAATAAATAAGAATAAAAACATATTACCCCTCACAATCCCCCCCTCCTCAATTTCACAACTATGCCCTTTGCTTTATCCCTCTCGCTTTATCCAATCAATAAACTGATAATAAATAACATTAATTTTTATTTTTTTTACCCCTCTTAAAAAATTTTTACCCTTTTTACCCCTCTTAAATTCTTTATGTAGAGAGGGATAAATTCCGGTTTAATTTTCATTCCGGTCTAATAGGCTGATATTGACTTGGTCTGAATAAAAAAATGCTGTCTGAATAAATAAAATTAAATTTAAAGAAATTATTCTTTTAAATTTATTTCCAAAAGAATTTACATATTTAATAATAAATTTAAAAAGTACATATTTTTAAATATTAATTCC